CTCTAAGGTATTGTCGCTGGTTCTTGTCTTGGCTGCTCTTCTTCTATTCTAGGTCTTTGCTAAGGCCTGGAAAAGCAGTACAGGATAGTTCAAGTGCCTGGGCCCATGCACCCAACGGGGAGACCCAGAAGAAGCTCCTGACTTCAGATCAGCCCAGCTGCAGCCGTTGAAGCCATATGGGAAATGAACCAGCTGATGGAAGAACTTTTTCTCTGTCTCTCCCTCTTTCTGTCTGCAACTCTACCTCTCAAACAGATGGAATGGAAGAGGAAGGAGAAGAAGAAGGAGAAGGAGAAGGAGAAGGAGAAGGAGAAGGAGAAGGAGAAGGAGAAGGAGAAGGAGAAGGAGAAGGAGAAGGAGAAGGAGAAGGAGAAGGAGAAGGAGAAGGAGAAGAAAAAGCAGAATAAGCAGCAGCAGCGCCAGACCTGCAGGACACTAACAGCGAAGATTCCATAGACCTCTGTGAGTGTCCTCCTGCTGGTCCCTATTCTGTCTGGGGTGGAGCCTCAATTCTCAAGGCTCCATTTGCCACTGTCCTAAGCCAGCTCCTGCCCTTGAGAGGGGAGCCAGGTAATTCCCATTCCCATGGCCAGCTTGTGGGGAGTGTGAGGAGGGAAGAGCCTGTGCAACAGGGAAGTCCCAGCAGAGTGCACTGCAGGAGCAGGTGTGCAAGTGGCTGAGGGGAGGTCCCAGCACCAGTCAACTGAACCAGTGTGTTCCCAGTCCTCCAGGCAGGCAGATTCAGGGGAGCCTGATCAAGGACAATTCTTGTGCCCAGGGCCTGGGGTGCACAGCCCACCAAGGGCCATGAAAAGCTGTGAACCTTAGCATTGGCACACAGTGAGAAGGCCTTTTGGATGCTCTGAGGATCTGGTTCTAGGTTGTCAGCAGGACAGAGAGGGGCCCAGAAGTCTAGTCCAGGAGGAAAGAAAAACTTTGGGTCAACTAAACACAGTTAATGAAGCCCATTGGCCAAAACAGGAAAGGCTTCCAAGGCTGGGCTGTGTGGTCCTGTTTCTTTCCTAACAATGAAGGAGAAAACAGATGGTTTTGGTTCACATGCCCTCCTGGGTTGACCTCCTTAGTTGGAGAAGGAGAGGAGGAAACAGGGAGAGAGAAGTGGGAGCTGGCGACCAGAGACAGAACCAAAGCAAGAGCCTCAGATGCCAAGAGAAGCAGGTTTAGATGTTTGATGTAGAGAAACAATGCCAGGGAAAACTGATAGCAAAGCTGCACTGACATTGCAGGCTGAGATAATGGTAGGTCTGCCTTTAATATGTCAATGTGTGACCTCCACATGCGTCATTCACCAAGGCACTTAGAGGTCTGTGGGCTGATTGACATCCAACATCCCCATCATTAATCATTAACACCATCCATCAAACTGTCCCCAAAAGGGTCCAGAGACCCCCTCCATTTCCTCTCTATAAAATCCCCTTATTACCTGGTTAATGCTACTCTTAGGATCATTGGTTACTCTTCTCACCCTGTTTTCTATACTACAGTGTCTAAGTGTTTACAGCAGGTGATAATAGAACAAAGGAAGGCCTTCAGCAACCAGGCAGTCAACCAAATGTTGCTACAGGGATGTACTCGGCTCCCCACACAGGAGACACTGGCTTGAGACATCGCCCCATGCCAGCGAAGAGTACATCATCGCCCCATGTCAGCAGGAAGTAGCTCTAAAGACAGATCATCATCCCTCTACCCCTCTTGGACTTTTGGGACTAATGTAATACCATACAAACCCTGCTTTATGAAAAACAAAAGGGGGGAATGTTAGGAAACTGGCGCAGTTGGCCGCATGGCCCAGCTACCTGAGCCAGGCTCCACCCCCATCCTAATGGGATTGGCTGCTTCTGCTTCCTGCCCGCCCTCAGGCAAAGTTTTAAAAGGGCATGTTCCCCTTCTCTCCTGCTCTCTCTCTCGGTTCCTGTCTCTAGCCTCCTCCTCTGGTCTCTTGGCTCTTGGTCCTTCTCTCCTGCACTCTCGGCTTCTCTCTTCCTCTGTCTCTCTCTTTTACAGTCTCCTTCTCCCTTTTTCCTTCGCCGCCCCTTCACTCCGGTCTGTAGGTTGTTCCCCAATAAACTTGACTCTCACTGGGATTAAACATGACAATAGGTCTGATCTGATTTCATCATCACTTAAAAAAAATCATCTATTATTTTTCACTTTATGTTTCTGTGTGAGAGCAAAGTGTTGAAATCCTTACTTAATGTATACTAAGCTGATCTTCTGTATATTAAGATAATCGAAAATGAATCTTGATGTGAATGGAAGGGGAGAGGGAGTGGGAAAGGGGAGGGTAGTGGGTGGGAGGGACGGTATGTGGGGGAAGCCATTGTAATCCATAAATCGTACTTTGGAAATTTATATTCATTAAATAAAAGTTTAAAAAAAAACAAACGAAAACACACCAAATCCAAACTAAACTCTGCTGTCCAGTAATAAATGCAGTCATCTAAAAATTTCACAGGCCACTGTGTGAATCTTAGTTACTATCACAGAGAAACTGAGAGGTGGATCTCTAATTCCAGAAAGTCACAGCCTCTTTCCCAGAAATACGTTGAACAGTCTGCCCAGGTATTGTCTTATATTTCCAGGACCCCATAAATGTCACAGCCCAACAGTACCCAGGGCTGCTCTGACTGTGGTGTAGCCTGCTGTTTGCCACTTTCTTTCATCAAACTCTCAGGCTTTTACTTTCCTGCCTTTTGATTGAATTCCATCTCTCAGTGAAGCCAAGGACTCTCCTGATATCAACTGGGATTCTCTGTCTTATAAATAACTAAATAAATCTTAAAGAAAAGAAATTCAAAATTCACTAGGTTTAAATCAGAAATAGTGATTATGTCCAGCAAAGCAGAACAGACTACAGGGCTCAAATGCAGTCTCTGGCTGGGGGTGGGCAGCTGGGGTCCAAGCATCCCCATTTTGGGTGCTAGTGCTTCAAGTTGCAGCTTAACCCACTGTGCCACAATGCACCCCACCCCCAGGAATGTCTTTAAAGAGGCTGCCCTAAAGATTTCTTTAAATCTAAAATCACCCATACTTGAATACTATCCATTTATTCTGCACCACACAGCACTATCTCACTTCAAATTTTGCTTAACATGATAAAATTTGCTGACAACATACAGTAATATCTCACTTTGTTTTGTTTCTTTTGATGGGATTTAGTGATTCAATTTGAGGTTTAATTTGTATTAATTTAATGATTAGATGAGAACATTTCTATATTTTATTGCATATACCCACATCTCTCTCTATATGTATGTATATTCTGTCTTTGTGAATGTCTGCTCTAAAATCTTACCTAATTTTATAGCAGGCTGGCATTCTGTAGTTACTAAATGACAAACAGTAAGTAGGTATATAAATATGATATCTTATTTCATATATATTTGGTAATGTCTTCACATCTTGAATTGCATTTCTGTCCTGTGAAAGAGTATCTTTCAAAATACGGAAGTCACTAGTTTTAATAGAGGCCGATGATTTTTTTTACCTTCTTGGTTACTGTTTTATGTCCTGTTCAGGCAAACTTCCTCTATGAGAATATTCTCCCATTGTTTTCCTGTTCATCTTTAGAGCTTAAGTCCATCAGGTGTCAGAAATTCAATACAGTAGTTCTGTACTAAAACTGTTGAATTTTATATCAACTTGATACCCATACTGGCCTGATGAGCTTGTGATTTTCAAAGTAGAAGAGAAAACAAGTGGGGAGGCTCTCTGCAGTACCCACATCCCATAAAGGCAGACTTGATTTCCAGCTGCTTCACTTCCAATCCAGCTCCCTGTTATGGTGCCAGGGATAGCAGTGAAGGATGGCCCAAGTGGTTAGGCTCCTAAGCTCATGTGGGAGACCTGTCTTCTATATATATAAATAAATCTTTCAAACAAGAGAGACAAAGAGAACACTGGTAATGAATAGATAGATGTGTCATGAGAATTGCAAGGAAAAGCACCCCACCTGATTTTAAATTTGAATACAGCCAAGTTTAGATGATTAAACTGAGTCAAGATGGGTAGGTAGTGCTGTATTCTGAATCTGGGCTGTTCCCATCAAAACTCATGTTGTGGCCTAATCCCACCAAGCAGCACTGTTGTAAAATGGAGCCTTGAAGAGGTGATAAAGGACAGGGTATTTGGTGCAGAGGTAGGGATGTCACCTGGGACACCTGCATACCGTACAACCTCCTGGTTCAGACCTAGCTTCTCCACTTCCAATCCAGCTTCCTGCTAATGCAGCACTCTGGCAGGCATCCAATGATGGTTGAAGTGCTTTGGTCCCTGTCAGCCACATGAGACCAGCACATAGCTCCTGGGTCCTCCAGTTGGCCTGCCCCAGGCATGGCTCTTCGGAGTACTTAGGGTGTGAATCTGTGGATGAAAGCTCTCTCTCTCTCCAAATGTCTCTCTACCATTACCACTGGATGAAAACGCTTTTAAAAGGTGGGAATTCAGTCCTTAAGAGGGATCCTACGTATCTATTGGGCAAAGGTGGAAGGTGAATAAATTCTTGTCCTTGGGGGAATGGATTATTTCTGGCAAGACTTGTTTTTGTTTTTTTTTTTCTTTTTTAAAGTGTTGTTTGTGAAAGAATTACAGAGAGAGGCAGAGACAGACAGAGAGGTCTTCCATCTGCGGGTTCACTCTCCAGATGACCACAAAGGCCGGAGCTACGCCGATCTGATGCAGGAGCCAGGAGCTTCTTCTGGATCCTCCACGTGGGCACAGGGACCAAGGAATTGGTCACCTTCCACTGCTTTCCAAGGCCAACACAGAGCTGAATCATAAGAGGAGCAGCTGGGACTAGAACTGGCACTCATATGGGATGCCGGCGCTTCAGACCAGGGTGCTAACCCACTGCGCCACAGTGCCGACCCAAGACTGGGTTGTTTCAACTAGGGACCACCCAACCACATGGTTCTTTCTGCACACAATTCTCCCTTCAGCTTTTCTGCCATGAGTTGATGCTTCAAGAGGTTTCAGCAGAAGCTCAGTTGATGCTGACACCATGATTGTGAAATGCCTTGGCTCACTCTCAAGAGTTGTGAGCTCAAAACAGTGCTTTTGAGGACTTAAAGCCATTTCACTTATTTGCTATTACACTATAAAATGGAAAATGACAAGTAGTTACTGTTAAATAAAGAGAAAGGACAAACTATTTCCATATCTCCATTGGATGTTTACAACCATGTTTGTTTGATTCGTCCTTTATTGAATTGGATTTGGACATTACTGGAACACCACCAAAATCTATTCTTTCACTTTCTCAAAGTTCATAAATAAAGTGAGAATCAGACAATGTGTTGTTTTCAATGCATCATGAGAAAATATTGAATAAACAACAACATGTACAGCATACATAATTTTATTGTTACTACAATTGATAAGAACACAGTAAATGGGATTTCATGATAGTAGGAGGAATTGAAATTTCATAAAATGCCACCTATTTTTACTATCTGATGAGGCTCAAGGACAAGGGTTTCAGAGAGTGGATTTCCCCCGTGTCTGTTCATAAATGACAGCAGCAGAAGATAGGCTTGAGACGAATAGAAAGGGAACAAGAAGGGATGGTATATATCAGGGAACTGTGATCAACATCAAGAAAGCTCATAGTTCTAGCTTCATAATCCAGGAATAGTCCTATGTGGTTAATCGGCCTTGCTACATATTGCACTAAAAGTGGAGAGGTGGTGAAGAAACTGTTATGGACATCTTCCTTAACACATGCAATAAGAAAGAGTCCCTCATCAACAAATATCTTGGTATTCCTGTACTTCGCTTTCCAAAAGCTATTACAAACACCTACAGCCCAATTGCAAGAGTTTCCCACTTCTACCTCCCAGTAATATCTGCCAGAAGTAAAAGTCTGAACACCCCATGCCAGAAAACATCCAGGCCTCTCCGGGAGACAGGGCACATCATGAGGGAAACAACCAATGTGCAGGCTTCGGAGATCTCCCTGTAGGAACATGTGCTAGTTGAATCTTTCAGGATCCAGACTGACAGTCACTGTAAAACAAAAGAACAGAAGTAGACACACATGTCAACAATGAAAGTTTAACCTCCAGAGGGAAAACATCTCCCAGAAGCTAATCTCCTGGGAAGTCAGAGGTTACCACAGTGAGCAGAATTTGGGTTGTAACACCTAATAGAAGAGAGGGCCCAATACACACTGCAGAACAAAGACCTAACTACAGAAACTGAAATGGTTTTTCAGAATTCAAATATTGGAATCAAATGTAAATCTAATGCCTTACAACTCAATTTTCAAAGCAACGTACCCATGGACAATGTGCCTGGAACTGTCTCCAGTTGTCCAACATCACTGTCAGAAACAGATTTCATGTTTCTAATAACAATGTCATGTGGGATAAGATTGAAGATTTTGTCCTAGTTAAAGCACTTCTGTAGAAAAAAAAAACTACATATTTCCACTGTAGACATATATATTTATGTAAATCTCTCTATGTCCATTGCAGATGTTACTTAACATTTAATGTTAAATGTGCACTGGAGTTTTGTAAGTCTTCTGGAACACCTTGCACTTTGAAAGTAGACAGGCACATACCTATGATGAGGACAAACAGATTATTCATTTCTTTTAATATATTTTATACAAAATTTCTCTTATTCTAGCATTGAAACACTAGTGTGTATATATATGTGTGTGTATATATATATGTAAACACAGACAAGATTAAGCTTCAAAGATGTCAAATTTAAGATTCACAGTTTTCACAGTGTTCATGGGAAATGCTAATTGTAGAAAAACTAGGGATGGGTTTAAAAACTGTTTGCTCCAAAATGAACTTCTTTTCCCACGAACTTCTATATGTACTCTCTTATGCCCATTATATATATAAAAAAATTAAGATCCAATAAACTCTGAAACCTTTGAAGCATCTTCTTCCAAGCCAGCTTAAATATCGTAAACAAAAGGATCCTTTTGTATGTTTTACACTAAATAACTAACCTTCATTTGCTCAATCTGCCCACACTTCCTCATTCCTTTCTCTATATGATAACTAAGTATGATCTTGGATCACATTTATATTTTTCAATAGCTTTTTCCCTCTTCACATTATAAAAGCTGACTATATAGAAAAGCCTGTGATGTATGTAGATAAGCCTATGGTTCCCTCACATGCCAAAATGTGTGTAACAGTTGATAAATTGGAAAAGGTCACCTATGTGATCTGCACAACAAGCCAAGGGCGTCAAGAATACGGTCAGTGGGCTGAAATTCACCTTGGAAGTATCTGAGGGTTTCTATCAGTCCAGTGATAGGCACTGCACTCAGCTCTGGATTCACAGGCTGGGGCATGTGCAGCAGCATGGATTCACACCTGCAAGAACAAGATAAAGTTCACATGAGTGGAGCCAAAAGAAATCATTTTCATTGAAAAGAAACCAGACTCTTAATAAACCCATCTGGAATTTGAGAAATCACCACATTGTCTAACTAATTCTATTTTTAACTCCTGAATTTCCAAATAGAATACAAAAGTCAATCAGAATTGAGTCCAGTGCTTCTTACTGCTCAAGAATCTGGGTAGATGTTACATCCCTGATGCTCCAAAGAGTAATCAGGAGGGGGAGTCTGGTGTCCAACTGCCAGACCTCCCTGAAAACGCTCTACCTGGCCATGTGTGGTTCTCTGAAACCTGGCATGTGTGCTGCTTCCTTCTGTGGCTAAAGGCTGTGAACCTTGTCCCATAAGGGAGATCTGTGTCCCAGAGCACAGCTACCCTCTGCCCCACAGTGTTCTAAATCATTCGAGGTTTCCTTTGTGTTCTTCCCAAAGCTGTGAACTCGTAAATGCAGGATCAACACAACACCAGGATTTTCTCACTGCTGGAATATGCTATCCCTCTCTTGCCTCAGCTGCCACTGATGGTCCCTGGAGGGATCTGACATCTCACTCCTAGGGACTTCCAGCCCTTCTCTTCCACCTGTGGAGATTTTTAGAACTGAAATGAAGACTGCCTAATAAAGTCACTTGGGTACAACCACAAAAAATGTGTATGTGCAGGTGGGGAGCAAAGAGGATTCAGGAAACTATTCAGTCAGTTTCCTAAGAAGCTCTGCTCTCACTCCAGAGGATCCAAGGGCTTACTGGGGGAGACCCTGGGAAAGCCCCTGTGGGAATGCAGGTACACACTCACCTGGGCAGGATGTCTCCAAAAGCCTGTGAGAAGACAAAGAAAAAGGCTTAGTGAATTTCCCAAGATATCTCTAAACCTGTGTCCAGGGTGGGAATTTGAGATGGTTCTCATCATTATTTCCACACCGCTTTCCTTCCAGGTTGCAGTTCCTATTTTTTCTTCTTAAAAACCTGGCCTATCACATTTTCATTAATTGTAGTCCTCCTAAGTTCAGAAAGTGGAGGACATTTTCTATGGGAATGAAGGGGAGAGTGGGCAGGAGAGCTGTGTGCTCTGCTGTAGCCATAAAGAAAGGAGGCAGCTGTCTTTCCCAGGCCCTCTTCCCAAGGGACAGGAGCAGAGAATGACAGCAATACACCCAGATCCTCAGATCTCCCCATCAGCCTTGTTATGAATTAGCCTAGCTGTCAATAAACTATTTACTTGTTGTGAATTTTCAAAAAGCCAAAATAGTTTATTGATGTTTGTAAGGTGATTATCTTTGGAGCGATTTTCATAACCATTACACAAGTTTGGGCACTCGTGGAGAACGTCTGAGGGACCTTTGGTCCATAAAATTCCAAAAGGTAGCTTCAGTGTGGAAATAGGAGTCAGGAACAAATACTGGAAGGAAAGGGAGAGGCAGATGTCAGCAGAGAGAATGAGGAGCTACGTATGAATGTCTAACATGCTGATGCCTGGCTTGTCAGTTGTTAACCTGAAGTAGCTCCACATCTGGTTTATGACACATTTCCTTCAGTTCCTTATACATTCCTCTTAAAGTCTCCCTCTTGTGAGCCATTCTGGCTTGACTTTCATTGAGTTGCTCAAAAATTTCCCTGCGCTCTTTGTACAGGATCTCCCAATGGTGTTGCTCCTCCTCCTGGAGATACAGAGGCATCTTCTGAAATACATTTCTGATTGCTTCTCTCCTCGAATCGACATAATCCTGCAATCACATTCAGTTATTCAAAACAAGAACCCATTTATCTCTATTCTGCTTTATCTCATGAATTTGATTTTGTCTCGTACACATCAATTACCTATAACCCCCATCACTTCTGTTTCTCAACATCTACAAAACTTCATTCTTGTTTTTTTCTCCTGTATGAGGATCAACATCATGTTATCTCATTAACTACATTCAGATGATTCATCATGAAGTTTTCATGAGAAAACAATAAATCTATTCATTTGATTCGTGTTTTCTAACATGCAACACATATACATGCATATATATCTATCAGAAGGCAACAAAACTCATGAGTAGAAAATGCCCTTTATGGCAGTAGTGACTGGATTGGAATCCATTCCTTAGCACTGTTTCTCAGAGTTACTTCCAGTTATGAAAACCATTATGTGTGCAGTACATCAGACTGGCATACTCATTCTCATGCAATTACTTCTCCCATAAACCTGACCTCCTAAGCTTTCCTCTCTATCTGACCCTCTTTACCACTTCATCTCATTTACTTCTAGCCTCCTACATCACTCACTGTGCCCAGAGATTTTGTTGTGGACTCTCAAGCTCATCAACCCCACCCAATATACACAACTGACACACTTCTGCACGGACAGTTTTCTCCACCAAGAATTCTCTTCCTGGCCTTATCATTCAGTGGCCTTCTTTATTTCAGTGTCATCTTTTTGTAAGCCTTTCTCTGATGTAGACATTTAAACTCATACTCTCATCTCCAGTCTGTATTCTCTTGTACTGCTTCACAAACTCCTTACTCAAATGTTTCCCTAAAACTTTGCCACATTCGCACCTACAATGCATTTTACTTCGATGTTTACCATTTGCCTCTCTGATTCAGATTTTAGCCTCATTTAGCAAAGGATTTTTTTCAGTCATGCATGCTGTCACATTTTTTTGTCACAATTTTGTATAGAATACCTGCTCTTGACATTTTGGTTAAAGGAATTTGTCTTCTTTCAAATTAGCATACCCCCAAGAAAACCATCTGCCAAGACACACTTATATTCCTCTCTTAAAGGCTGAGTCCTACACTTAGGTTGCAAACCAGTCCCATATTTTGGTAGGTTTCTATGTATCCTTCAAGAGATTGAAACTACATCTCCTATCATATTTACACACAATTCATTATAATGTTAAAGATTCACATTAATTGCTTAGGGTACTCCTTTTAGCGTTTCCTCAGATTTGAGTCAGTGCTGTGTTTGTTGAAAGGTTTCTACCCACCTCCAAATACTATTTAATTCAAATGCAAGCTGACTATGCCAGGAAGCTTGACTTGAGTGTCCCATGCCTCCCGGATGTCATACTTACCTGGGTTTTGCAACACCTCAGCACACATGACTCTCTGTGAGACAACCCCATTTCTTGTAGTTGATATGTGGTACCAAATGTCCTATTATGGGGGTAAGTCATCACATCTGTGGTGCAACCAGAACTCCTAGGCAAGGGCCATACTTCCCTGTGGAGTAACTGAGGACATCATTTCCTATGACCTCACCCTCTTTAGGATGAAATCCGATACTTTGTCATTTCAGATCAAGTTCCTATTTTAAACATTGTCCCTATGTTCATCTCAAGTTTTGGCAAAGGTAAAGGTGGCAGCACACTAACCTCCCATGATCTGGTTTTGATTATTTCCATATTCATGTTTCTGCTATTTTCACAGAAGTTTTTCCATAAACACTCCATTGTCTTCAGGAGGGTCTCCTGCAGACACAGATACAATCATTCATTGAACACTAGTGAAGAGGATAGTGTAAGATGCACATTGCAACACGAACTGGGGCTGCCAAGGAGAGGCAAGTCTGCCTCACTGACAATAATATCATCATAGTACTTGCATGTTCATGTCAGACATTTGTCACATGTGAGCCTGAGAATACTCAGAACAGAGCTTCAGAATGGGACATAGAGAGGACTCCTAGGCTTACTAGGGTAATCCTCTGCCTTGTGGCGCCGGCACACTGGGTTCTAGTCCTGCTCGGGGCGCCAGATTCTGTCCCGGATGCCCCTCTTCCAGGCCAGCTCTCTGCTGTGGCCCGGGAATGCAGTGGAGGATGGCCCAAGTCCTTGGGCCCTGTACCCCATGGGAGACCAGGAGAAGCACCTGGCTCCTGCCTTTGGATCAGCGCGGTGTGCCAGCCGCAGTGCAGCGGCCATTGGAGGGTGAACTAACAGCAAAAGGAAGACCTTTCTGTCTCTCTCTCTCTCACTGTCCACTCTGCCTCTCAAAAAAAAAAAAACAAACAAACAAACAAAAAAACCCAAAAACCTATCCTAATTTTCCCAATCCTCGTCCCATACAATGGCTGGAAAATTGTCTCAGGAGTGGGGGAGGATCTTTCTAATTTAGTCATAAACTATGAGGATGAGATGGTGAGAAATTTTTATAGAAGTCCTTGGTGGTGGGGGCAGGGTTCGATACAATAGCTCACCTCTTAATCAACGAAACTCAAATCAGATGGAAGCAATCTAGATTCATAGAAAGATGGAATGATACAACGTCAGGTTTATTTAACCTCTCTTAACATGACAGAAATTTCTCTCTGGAACCATCCAAACTCTGTACCCATGCGTTGTCTTAAGTGAACATATATATTTTGATCATAACTCTAATGGTTAAGTAGTCTGCATTAGCTCTAATTAGTGTCCAAATTTAGTGTCCAAAATTTTTTAAAAAGGACTGTTTGAAAACACATTCTTCTTTATTTTCTGAAGATAAAAGAATCGACTCATTTTAATCCACAGTAGAAATACCTTTGTTTTGTTTAGGTCAATTTATTTGAAGGTAAAAGTGCAGGGAGTGGAGGTAGAGAAAGAGGGAGAGAAGGAGGGAGGGAAAAATCATCCATTTAGTGGTTCACTCCTCAAATGGCTGCAGTTCATGGGACAAGGCAAGGCCGAAGCCAGGAGCTGTAACTCCATGCAGTTGTTCCACGTACTTGTAGCATTTTCTGCTACCTTAAGATGCTCATTAGCGGGAGGCTGGACAGGACTTGAAGCAGCTGGGACTTGAACTGGCAGGGTATACTGCATGTTGACATCTAATGAGACAGTTTAACCCAATGGTCCACAATGCCAGCTCTGAGAGAATCTTGTGTTAATTGCGATCTTTATTTTGGCAGTTCTAAGTAGTCAACTATCCTCTAATTTCCTAATAACACTAATGGATATATGGGGAAGTGGGACAACTTTAGAATTGCAGAAAACTGGGGCAGGAGCTGTGGCATAGCGAGTTAAGCTGCTGTCTGCAACGTCAGCATCCCAAATGGGTGCAGGTTCAAGCCCCGGCTGCTTCACTTCACATCCACCTCTCTGCTATGACCTGGGAAAACAGTGGAAGGTGGCCCAAGTGTTTGGGGCTCTACATCCACATGGGATAACCAAAAGCACCTCATGGCCCTGGCTTTGCAAGCGCTCAGCTCAGGACTTTGCTGCCATTTGGGTAGTGGAACAATGGATGGAACATCTCTCTCTCTCTCTCTGTCTTTCAAATATAAATAAATAACTTATTAAAAAAGAATTGCAAATATCTTTTAGAAGGGATCAACATTGTGTTACAGCGAGTTAACTCACTATCTGAAAAGCAAATATTCCATATGAGTGCCAGTTCTAGTCCCTGCTGCCTCACTTCTGATTCAGCTCCTTGCTCATATGCCTGGAACAGAAGCTTAAGAAGGCCCAAGTCGCTGTGCCCCAGTACCGTTGTGGGAGACCTGGATGAGGCACCTGGTTCCTGTTTTTGGCATGGCTCAGGCCTGGTTGATGTGGCCATTTGAAGAGAAAGCCAAGTAAAAAAGTACTTTATATTTTATGTCTATGAGGGTATGAGCTGTTGAAATCTTTATTCAATACAGAGTTGACCTTCTGTATATAAAGATAATTCAAACTGAATCTTTATGAAGAATGGGATGAGAGAGGGAGTAGGCGGTGGTGCACTTTGGAGGTGGTAGGGCGGGTATGGGGTGAAGAACTGCTATAATCCACAAACTGTACCTATGAAATATATAATTATTTAAAGCTTTCTAAAATAAAAAAAATTAAAAAGTAAACCAGCAAATGGAAGCCCTCTCTCAGTCTCTAACTCTGACTATCCCATAAAGGTATCTTTAAAGATAAATAAATAAATAGCTTTAAATAATAATGAATGACTCACAAAGAGTTATATGTTCAAAGACTGTTAGGGCATAATTATCATAAATCAGATAGAAGAGGGAAGGATTGTCATCCCACATATAAGAGTTTATTATACAGAAATGGCTTTTCAAAATCTCTTCCCTGATCTGGAGTAACTAATACAGTACCATAAAGGTAATGTATTGGAATTAAATGCACATTTTGAGATTTGATGACTGTTTACAGCCCTTGTCTCCTGTTGAGGAAGAGTGTTTTACTTAATACTATTTCTTGGCGTGCCCCACGGCTCACTTGGCTAATCCTCCACATGTGGCACCGGCACTGCTGTTTCTTGTCCTGGTTGCTCCTCTTCCAGGCCAGCTCTCTGCTGTGGCCCGGGAGGGAAGCAAAGGATGGCCCAAGTGCTTGGGCCCTGCACCTGCATGGGACACCAGGAGGAAGTACCTGGCTCCTGGCTTCAGATCGGTATAGCACAGCAACTGTAATGGCAATTTGGGGGGGTGAACCAACAGAAGGACGGCCTTTCCCTCTGTCTCTCTCTCTCTCTCTCTCTCTCTCTCAGTAACTCTGCCTGTCAAAACAAAAATGCTCTTTCTTGAACTCTTTACCTAGTTTAGGGTTGCCCTCATGATCATTAAATAAACTGAAAACAGATTTTTGTAAAAATTAAGAGTCAGAACAGTAGATGGAGGAGAAAGAAGAGTTGGAGAGCGGGCAGGAGGGATGGTAGAGTGTGGAATATCAGTTTATTTTTAAGATTTCATTTATTGCTTATTTGAGAGGTAGGGTTACAGACAAATAGAGGGAGAGACTGAGAGAATGGTCTTCCATCTGCTGGTTCACTCCCCAAATAGCCGCAATGACCACTGCTCGGCTGATCTGAAGCCAGGAGCCAGGAGCTTCTTCTAGTTCTCCCATGTGGAGACAGGGGCCTAAGCATCTTCCACTGCTTTTCCCAGAGATAGTAGAGAGCTGGATTGGAAGTGGATCATTTGGGACTCAAAACGTTGTCCAGAGGCGGAGCCAAGATGGCGGAATAGTGAGGGCGCGCACCGATAGTCCGGGAAAATTTAGTTTAATAAAAGGGGAGTTACGGTAGCCTCAGAAAAAAGAACCAGGAAAATATTGCAGACAAAACTCTTCTGGATCCAGTGGGCGTGAATCGGAGGACCTACTGGGAGAACAAGGTCGCCCACTGCGCGCGAAAGCCGAACCGCAGGACCGAGCCGCGGGACTGAGCCGCGGAAGCCGAGCCGCGGGACTGAGCTGCGCAAGCTGCAGGGTCTACACGCAAGTGCTCGAAGGGGAGTGCAACAGCGGGGAGACTTGGGAAGTCCAGGGCTCCGAGTCCACACATCGGCGCTGGAAGGGGAGCAGACCTGCGTGGAGAGCGTGGGAGCCCACAGTTCGGGACATCAGCGGCAGACTCAACACACCAGCGCTGGAACGCGAGGTGAGCCGAACCTCAATAACCCGAGACACCGGCAGGCAAGCGGAGAGAGGAGACTAGAGGGAACGACCCCCGGGGCGGGGGGGACTTCACCAAGCTAACTGGAAGAGAGAGAGAGGGAAAAAAAAAAAAGGTGACTGGTATGGACACGGGTTTCTCTCTCTCCGCTCACCTCTCAAGGGCGAGCAAGACAAAGAGCAGGTGCCATCTTGGACATACGTCATAAGCAGAGCGACCTCAGGTCTGCACCGGCCCTGAGCCTAGCAGTAAAACCTGACTCTGGGTGGGGCGAATTAACAGGAGATTAGGACTTAGTAAATTTATGGTGCTACTGAACTGAGACTGTGAAAAAAGAGACGGTGGGGGAGAGAACTCACGGAATTCACGTGAGCACTCTCCAGAGACGCTACAATTCCGTAACTTTGGCAACCCAGTGGGAGACTGAAGGAGAATTTGAGCCCACTCTAAGGGCCGAACAGATTCCCTGTGTGGTCCTTGGGAAAGAGCTTCTGATCTCTGGCTCCTGTGGGTATATCATTTGCCTGCTAACTACCTCCAACTTTGTTCAGCTGTGCAGAATAACTTCCCTGTTGAATCAAAAAAAAAAAAAAAAGAGAGAGAGAGAGAGAGAGAGAGGTTTACCACGCCTAACCTGGGAGTGTCACCTTTGGCACACCAAACAGAGCTCTCAGGCCACACCCATCTCAAGCCCTAAGGCTCCATCAAAAACAGATAGTCCACTTAATCTAGAGTCATAGTATAACAAGAAAAAGCACCACAGTGAAGAAACCAAATATCTCCAATATGCCAAATAACAAACGCAAAAACCAAGGTAATAAAAACAAGGAAGTCACCATGAAGCCCTCAAATGAAAAAGACACCCCAATTCAAGATTATGAGGATGATGACATAGAAGAAATGCAAGAAGCAGATCTCAAAAAATTGATAAGAACATTAAGAAGTTCTCAAAAACAAATTCTTGAACTACAGAAATCCTTAATGGACAAGATAGAAAATCTCTCTCGTGAAAATGAAATATTAAGGAGGAATCAAAATGAAACGAAACAACTAGTACAACAGGAAACTGGGATAGTGACTGAAGTGAAGA